ACTAGATACGCTTCAGAGGTGGACGTTGACTTTGTGAGGAAAGCGGTCAAGGCAATTGGGCAGACTGCGATCAAGATCGAGTCTGCGGCACCGAAATGTGTTCAGGTGTTACTGGATCTGATTCAAACACGGGTCAGCTACGTGGTTCAAGAGGGTGTGGTTGTCATCAAGGTCGGTGACTGACAGTGTTGTGGACCTTGAAATTTCCACTGAATCTAAGAATCTTTGTGACTTTGACAGGACATCTTCAGGAAATACCCGCACAGCTACGAAGCAGTGATCCCGACACTATGCTCCAACTTGGATGAGCTCGATGAGCCAGAAGCCAAGGCGTCCCTCATCTGGATTATCGGGGAGTACGCGGAAAAGATTGAAAATGCAGACGAATTGCTTGGCATCTTCCTCGATACTTTCAAAGAAGAAAGTTATGCGGTAAGTTTAGTGGGAATTATTGCAAGCCCGTTATCGTCGTTTGCATTGCGGAGAACGACTGCTGAATACCCCTTCTTTATCTGCGTAGGTACAATTGCAAACGGTCACAGCAATCGTTAAACTATTCCTCAAGAAGCCAGATCACGCTCAAGCGATTGTGCAGCGCGTGCTGCAGACTGCTACTAAAGATTCGGATAATCCGGATGTCAGGGACAAGGCATATGTATACTGGAGATTACTTTCGACGGATCCCGCAGCTGCAAAGGTGAGCCGCTTCTCGGTTAGCATTTGCAGTGGTGCTTACTGACCGTCATGGACTGTTGTCTCTTCTAACCATCCAGGCTGTCGTGCTGTCAGTCAGGCCGCCAATATCGCTACCGACTACCACAGTCGCTCCAGCAGTCCTAGACGAATTATTAAGCGAAATTTCATCTCTGGCTAGCGTGTATCACAAGCCTGCAGCAACTTTCATCGGCAAGGGAAGATACGGAGTTGACGAAATGTCAAAACGGAGAGCAGAGTGAGTGAAGGCAGATGTGACCGAACTTACTATGCCTAATGATTACGTGCGACTATAGCTTCGACGAAGCCGACACGTCCACTCGAAAGGCGCTTGCAACTGTAGTCGCGGGCCAGAAATCCGAAAACTTGCTCGACTTCGACACTGATGAGCCATCGATTGCGGACACTTCGATATCCACCAATACGGTTCCGGCCGGTTATGCTCCATCATCTGCGGCTATAGCTTCGGTGGCAGCAGCGAAAAATCCTCTGGATGAGCTCATGGACTTGTTCTCAAACAGCAACCTGCAAGCTCCTACGTCTGCTCCGACGCTGAGTGTGACTTCACCAAATCAAGCCAGTGTCGCAGCCGCGGCCGCGGCATCTTCGCCATTTGACTTTGATGTGTTTGGCGGTCAGGGCAGCTCGAGCGCATCTCAGCCTGCAAACAAACCACCAGCCTCGCAGAAACCTTCAGAGGATCTGTTAGGACTGTTCTAAGACTTGAACGGCACACTCATATAGATGTTGTATAATGACGAAGTCCCGGCTTGATCGAGAAGGCGAGCCCTTTTTGGATTCAGATGCATGGGCATGATATAGCGAGATCTTGCGAGAGTGCAAGCTCAACGTGCGATAATTGATACAACCCACGATTCTATACAACTTGTTTGGGTTTGATCAAAGATTATACAAATCAGCTTGTACAAGCGATCCCATGCGCGGGTCACTTTACAGCGCGAGCCCATTATACAGGTGATGCCAATTGTTTGACGATAGCTTGGGCTCCAATCGAACCCATGATGCAGACATCCATATCCCCCGTTCCAGCCGGACCCATAATGCATGCAGAGACGTTTCCGTTCTAGTTGAAACCGTGATCGACGCAACCACAGCCCCATCGCTCCTTTCCCCTCTTCCAGTCGCTGGTCATTCGCTGAATGGGTGGCGTGCTTTCTCTGCGAGGCTTTACACCATCGACCTTTCCATGTATAACCATCTGCCATTCCAGACACCATTTCCTGAGCGTAGTTCCATCCGCGCGACGTCTCGCTGGAGGACGATATTGTCGGAGAGAGTAAGGCGTGTCAATCCATTCGTCTACGTGTGACATCTTGACGAAAGACAGTGAGGGTCCGCAGCAAGCGCAGCTCGATACCGGGTTACTAGATGATTGACCGGAAAAGGTCTTGAAAGCTGGTGAGGAGACGAAAGAGAGATAGCTGATGAAATGCACAGGGTGGCCGAGTGAAACGTTTGGAGCACGATTCAATTCGAGGCGAGGCGTGAGAGCCAAGTATGCTGAATCCATCATCGACTGCAATGAAATGACTGTTTCAAGTGCGGATCTGATTTCGGTGACTAGCGGATCATGTTCGTTTATCGGCATAATTGGTGGTGAAGTAGCAGGAGACAGTATGCGATTGACGACAGGTCCGTTTCGACATCTCGTCATACGATCATGCTGGATCGCAGTACGTGAAGCCTTCTTCTCTCCAGACATTAAAAGCACTTGTAGATGAGGGCAGAGTCCTCGCACTGGGTACTCTTCTGGCCCATCAGGAGGAAAGAGCGAAGATCGTCGAAATTTTTTCGGACTTGATGCTGGTGCTGTTTGGCTAAGCAATGATGCGGTACTGGTGTTTGCGCTGGCGAAAAACTGTTTGGTAGGCTTGAAAGATGATGATACGTATGAATGCGGACGAGATTCAACGCCGTATGTAGAGTCGGGAGTGACAATGTCCGTGAATGCAGAGTAGTCTGATGCTGTTGAAGGGTCCAGAGGAGGAGGAGCGACGAGCGGCGTTTCGAAAATGGAGTCAGACTAGTAGATAAGAGGCCATTACGTGAGTTGCGTCAACAGCGAGCTTGGACTGTGATGATGACGCACGTTATGATCATCAGCTCCCTTGTCCTTGTCCTTCTTCTCTTTATGCTTCGACCCAGAACCAGCAATGTCCCTCCTTCGACTTCTCTTGACATATCCTTCAACCGAATTCCTGCTCGTCTCTCCCTGCTTAGTGACTGGTCTGGGCGTCCATCGTGGAATCGGATCGAGTGCTGGTGTTGGTGAATCTTTGGAAACGGACCAATGTAGCGACTTGTGCTCTTTGACGGCCATAGAATGCTGTTGTTTCTGTCTCTGGAGGCAGAATGCGTTGAGCGAGTCGTCGATGCAAGGTGAATGTGAGCGAGTCTTGGGCTTTGTTGATCTCGGTAAATCTAGCAACTTGGTCTCTTTGACGCTGACTTTCTCGACATAAGGTTTCGGTTGTTCGTATTGAGGATAGTAGAGACGACCATGGGAGTCATAGGCCGGTAAAAGCATGTTGGTTCACGTCGGGACAAGCTGCTTTAACGCTCGAGTGTCACCTTGTGAGATTAGAATGTCCACATGTGCTGCTGACGGAGAACACCGGACGATAGTTGGTGAGAAGAATGCAAGTTGTGGCGTTCTATGTGCTTTCAACGAATTCGACGTTGAGCAGAGAGTAGAAATATATGACAAGTGACAAGGAAGATGATATGGCCACAGTCTTTCAGAATACGGTCGTGCGACCGGATGAATTCCGTTCGAGGGCTGTAAGACGACAAGTTGGAGGAGCACACACGAGAATGGTCCGCGTTGGCGCATACAGTTCTGTAATCTCCTATCAATGTCCAAGCCTGATCGAGCTCCTGATCGGCGCGCGACTTCTCAGATTTCTCATTTTGCCGCCGTTACCACAGCGTGGAGCTTGGCGGTGGAGCTAGCTGGGGTAATCAACCACTAGAAGAAACACTGAGCTAACACTGTATGTACCTCGTATCTCGTGGGCAACTCAAATTGAAGGCCGAGCGGAGCGGTACGAGCGGTAAAAGCTGCTGAGAAAGGGCAGCTGGCAGGATTGAGCACTATGAGCCAGCTGCTGCCATTTGTCGAGAGACAACCTCGAGAAGCTGCTCGAGAAAAGTATTCAGTATGCGGCTGACAAGCTGGCTGACAGATGATAGAGTTGCTGGTAAGTCGCTGACCATGAGTAAGAGTAATGGGTAGTGAGTAGCAAAGTAGGCAACGACATCATAGCAATTAGAGAACTATGTAGGGGTTGTTTTTCTCGACCCGCGAACAAAGTGCTCTCTCCGAGTCTCCGACTCGGGCGATTCGGTGACCTGCTGCGTGAAGTAGCGAAGTAGAGTAGCTAGTAGCGTATGATCGTAGTTTATACGCTGGCTGTACCTTGGATGTTGGCGGCTTGATAGGCAGTACAAGTACAAAATAATAGCCGCAAATCAAGCTGCACATAACCATAGAATACGGCTACAGGAGCTCATACTCAATATTCAATATACTCGTGTAGTACTTTCCTTAATATATGGGGGGAGACCGCAGCACAATACTACTTGATGCTTTACTAGCTCATTTAGTGCTAACTTCCTGGTTGCGGGCACTAGTAGTTGCTCCATCTCTGGTATCACACGAATGGGCTAAAGAAGCTACGAAAGACGCCCATTCACCAATCACCATCGCACGGCGCATACATTCCTGGTCTTTTATTGGCGCTACGGGCAGGCCTAAAGAGCTGCCTAGTACCCAGAGCTGCTAGGAGAAACGTTGTGCGCCAGTCGTATCTGCTTCCTGCCTTGAGCTCTGCCTTGTTGACAGCTGCCTTGAATACGGTTTCCTGAATGCTGATTGTGAGTCACTGTAACTGTCAGCTTTCACTCAATACATTCTGGTGTCGGGCCTCCCTATCGCCGTCCCACACTTTCGGCCGGTTCACCAACAAGCATTCGCTTGGTCGCTTGACTCTTCAGCCCGCGCAGCCGTGATATGATCAGCCGCACGAGCATGACCCTGAGCACTACTGCGTGCCCTCGAGCTGGGGAGAATGGATGTCCACCTGATATCCGATACGCTACGCCAAAAGAAAGAACGGAACTGTGCTGCTGCAAGTAGAGGCTAGCAGGCAATGGGCAGTGAACGTGCGAGTGGCAAAAAGACAGTCGCAGAAGCGAGGTATTGGCAAAGAACGGTTTCAAACCCGCCAGTTTCGCTGCGCAAAGTTGCTGTTGCGTAAAATGTCAACCGACTACGAGATTCGAACTCGTGATCTTCAGCTAATCGGTGAAACCGGAAACTGACGTGTTAACCACTTCACTAAGCCGGCAGAACAGCGCAGCGGTGAAATAATAGGTTATACTCAGACACATATGGACGTATGGATATCACCTCGTTCACGTGATCTGCGCTTTAGGCACGGCTGAACAGTTTGATCGCGCTTGCCGTGTCGACGACAAACGACCGAGCTTGAAAATATATAGCTTTGTGAACTGTGTCATAAATGGAAATTTGTCTTGCAGAACTCCAACGGGCACGACCCACTACGAAGACTTGCTCCATCAGAGGCCGCCCCGTTCTCGCTCTACTCGATACTGTGAGTTTACTTTCCCGTTTCCCATCTTGTTGTCTCTGCTTCTCGTTCAAATGAAGAGACTCTATGCCAGACATTTGCACGTCAGCAAGAGATCTGTTGGGAATGGCTTTTCATTAATACAAGGTTCTCTCTTTGAGGATCTTGTGTTCTCGCAGAGTTCTGGAACCGGCAGTAGTCAATGCTTTCAAACAATTCGCGCATATTATTCTGATACCAACACGAACGCGAGCTTTTTTTTATGGACCTATACCTCGTTATTTCCTGCATGAGACTAACGCTGTCTCTGTCTATAGATTTTGGACTGTTGTTCATCCCTTTGCGCCAGACGGAGAGCTATCTCTTTCCGTCGCGTGCACGCCGCAATATGCAATCTACCGGGTGGACCCCACCGCTGGCAACCTATATCCCAGAAGCGGATCAGCAAGAAGTTGACCTGGGTTGGATGAAGGTTGCGCTTGATCAGGTAAGTCGCTGTTTGAATCCCGCGCAGATAAGTTGTATCAGGTGGTCTTGTAAATGTACTAGAATACCTTCTTGCCTATATCATAATGCTTATCGAAGACTCGTCCATCTACGCTCTCCTTCTCTGGCCTTGGTTCCTTATTCGGTAACCCGCAGGCCGAGGAAGCTCTTGCTGCCAAAGAGGTCCCAGTCGGGTGTGTGTTTGTCAGGGACGGCAAAGCAATAGCAAAAGCCAGGAATCGCACGAATGAGTGGAGGAATGTGAGATCAGGCGGTGTCTTCGTCGCTCAGGTTCCTCAATGAAACTGTTTCCATTCCAATAGGCTACTCTACACGCTGAACTCGTGTCACTGGACGAGATTCTGAAAACGCATAGTCTACCCCTCCAAGACGTTACCCTTTACGTAACCGTAGAGCCGTGTGTCATGTGCGCATCGGCTTTGCGACAAGTCGGAATTGGAAAAGTAATTTATGGAGCAGGGAATGAGAGATTCGGAGGGTGCGGAAGTGTTCTGGATGTGAACGATACGTAGGTACCTTGCCCTCGGAGCATCCGCCACTGTCAGTTTGGCTAACGACCGCTATCTCAAAGACCTCGTATCAAGTCAAGCTTGTCTTACCAAGCACTTGGCGGTTACTATCGGACTGAGGCCATCATGCTGTTACGGAGATTTTACCTGATTCAAAACTCGAATGGTATGTCGGTAATACTCCTTGCACTCGTCCCACATGAGATCAAATTGCTCATCCGCCTGCATAGCCCCAAAGCCAAAGAACAAGGCTACAAGAGTTCTCAAGACAGACATTCTGCCTATCAAATCCAGAACAACTACACCGAGCGGTACCCCCAAGGGCTCACAGACTCCCGTATAAACTGAGACGAAAACCAAGACGGGTTGTCAACGATCAATCTGATAGCAATGCCTTCTATATGTCACGAAATGCAAAAGACGTTTACATTATTGAGCTAATCACCATGTACTTCATTCTTGTCTGGTGTAATAGAGGACATCCGAGCATGCTCTCGTCAGTGTCATCCCGTTCTTCGCGACCTATTACTAGATGATCTAGATTCAGAACGACTTCCCAGAAGTAACGGGTCACTTGTATCAATGAGGGAGTTTCAAGCGTGGAATAGACTCAAGCTTACCTGTGCATGTGTGGATAAGCTCTTTCGACGAGATTCGCGGTGCCATGCCCGCTTGAAGGTTGCCGGGTAACGATTCCTCTTCCATTCCCTTTGTCATTCACCGAGCCGCTCGAATCATGCGTTGGTAATCTAGCCAAAAGAGGCAAGATCTCTCGGGCAAGCTGATATGTGGGGTGACTCAGCTGTATACTCCTTTATTGGTGCGACTAAAACTTTACTCACTTCTCTAACCAACACCGCGCCGTCCTGTTTGCTAAGATGCTCCACTACTTGCGCCAAGTCGGAAAGGCCCATCGCGCCGTCGCGACAGTCATCGCTTTCGCAGATGATCTTGGTCAGACGCAAGAGATTCAGCTTTGCCATGGCATTGCTTCTCCTTGAGAGCGCGTAGGCGATCCGCTTGATAAGCATAGGCCGTGCACAGCCTGATGCAAGTGATCTTGACGCTCGTAGCATTTTGGTAAAGCTATTCCGTCGGTAGAATGAGCCCCATTTCATCGTATCTCCATCCAAATTCACGACTCACGGTTCCAGCATATGGTCGAACGACGTCCCCGTTGCTCTACAGAAGGCGCCAATCAAAGATTCTATTGCTGAACTCTCCAGAAGGCGATCCTCTACCCGAGCCGTCTCTTCATGTAGCCTATGATGAAAGATAAGTGACAAACTCACGGCATTGTTGCAACCCCGGAGGCACATACCATGTTACGATAGCCTCCAATGCAGAAACCTACAAAGAAAGCAAGATCAGGCACAATTAGGTAAGAGGTAGCGCACACTGTCTCACCCTCCAGTAGGAATCCATCAGCAGGTCGAGATACACTGTAAGCTCGCCATGCCGTCAGTGACTCTGGAATTTGGGGTGAGTCCCACAGGCCTGCCGCAATAGCTCACATTGAATACCGTCGACTTTCCACAACTGGCGCTTGGCACTCTTTCCCGCATTCGCCATATCGCAAAGCAAGGGCAAAGCAAACTCTTTCAACGGTGAATTGATTTCGACGACTTGACGAAGTATTGGCAATAGCCCATTTTGAGCTGCTTCCTCTTGCCGGGACCGACTTAGTCTACACAGGTTGAACAGGGTCTGGAAGACTTGTGAGCAGATTTCCTGAATAGACGCAGATCTGAGTTACATGGTCATTCTTGCAACTATCAGTTGACTCACATTCATACCCGGTGATCCAAGCTTTTCTGTTAGCAGGTCGAGCAGAATTCTTATGGCATCCGCGTTTTGCAGGACTTCAAGCAAAGGCTGGCTGGTTGACAAGTGTTTGATCGACTTCAGAGCGAGTAGCAGTAAGGCTGGCGATAAACGTGGAAGGCTTCGCAAGAGGGCTACCGGTTTTTCGAAGTTCGCATAATGTTGGTTCAGTGTCCGTAAGCACTGAATTTCGCAATCGCGTAAATACTCACAAATTACAAAACTCCTGGACCCGAAAGCGACGCGAATGCGTGCGTCAGCCTGGCCTGTTTGACAAAATAGTAATAGCAGGACGAGAATCCGTTGCTTGGCGGCTTCCGCATCTGAACTGATATCTTTGACAATGTTCAGCAGTGCTGACGATAGGGGCTCTGCAATACCCTCCCGGACGAACATGCGACAAAATTCGTTTTTCGGTGCTGGACTTTGCAGGTTGAAGACGCTTTCGATGCCCTGTAGCGCAGATATGACGAGGGCCCTATTTACGGCGTAGTCCTCGTCCAGCAGCTCCACCAGAATCCGTATACCGCGGCAGCTGGACAGAAATACGAGTTATTGTGATTGGTTCGATTGCATGGTATCATCACTTACGAAATGAACATTTGCAAGGTAAGCGCAGAGCTGGTGAGACTCTTGACGAAGATAGATGCTTCCAGTCTGGTTTCCAGAGAGTATCGCTTGGAGATGAAATTCTGTGTAATGCGATGAAGACCTCTTTGAGTGGTTCGATTGATGGAGTTTGATACCTAGATTTACCATTATGACAGGTATGCCACCAGTTAGGCAGATGTGCTCCATAACACTCGGATCTGTGGCTACAGTCTATAGCTCTGGGACATGAGCGCTCAAATACCAGATCATCGACGAATGCTGCTTACCATGTTAATGATCTTCAGGAGGTTGAGAGTGACATCTCTGCTGGGCTTAATCTCCAGTACTTCAAGCACCGCCAGCATACCATGGGCGATAACGAAATGGTCTTGAAGTTCCAAGGAGCCCTCGATCAGTAAGATCTGGAGATTAGCGGGTGTCAGCGTACAGATTTAAGAGCTTCACACGATACATCCACTTGGTCTTACCAACTCATAGCTTGCGACACGCAACGCTTCCTCGTGCGAGGTAGGCTGTAAATCCTCAATCAGTTCATTGACTTTCCCGCATAGCATAGCATGCTTGTCACGCAAAAGGTTCGCTTCAACATCAAATGCAGTGAAGGAGTCCTCGATCTGGTAATTTTTCGGTTTGAGTGAGCCGCTCGAATTTACTGTGTCGACAATACTTACATCGGCGAAAGGGTCCTCTCCCTCGCCATCATCATCCTCGTCGTGGCCGTCTATCCAAGCTCTGTGCGATCGCTTCACATTCAACCTGAGGGGGTCCGAGGAGTTGGATTTAATAGCTAATCATAAAGTGTCAGCTTGTAGAACCGGTTGCAGAGAAAGATATCAACGTACAGCCAAGTCGCTCCTCTGAATCGACCGCAAACACGTCATCATAACCTTCATCGTCTCTTTCTGCGTACTTGTTAAGCGTCAAGAAGGCGCGCTTGCTGGACTCATCATCGGGAGCTACCCCTCTAAATGAGTTTGAACGCGAGGTTGGGCGACTGCTTGGACTCTGAGTCGGACGAAGCTGAGGATGTTGCACAAATGCTCCGGCGGGGTGGGCATATGATGAAGCCAAAGAAGGGAGGGGAGCTCCACGTGTGATGTCGCTGCTATTGTCACCGATTCGGGCTACCCGCTTCTGAGTTGTACTGATCAACTATACCGCAGAGGAACCAAAACATTAGCAGAGCATTTCATGCAGAACTCAAACATGATCACTCAACTCGTAGTCTACCAATCTTCTGGCTAAACGATTGTTCGTTAAAGTCTATGTCTGCTGAATAGTCTTCTTTCGACTCCCCCGTTATTA